ACGTCCAGCTAACTGTTTTCTGCTAGGTAACACTAAGTGAGGATTCAACCAACGATAATGCTCGATGACACTTTTATCTTCTACCCACCGAAATGACCAACCATTTGTTATTGTAATATTTAAAATTTGATCTTCAAATTGAGCTTGTTCTAAAAAGGTTGGCGTACGAGCAAGAAAATGGTCTATTTTTTTACTTTCAACTTTTGAGGTAGTTAAACTCTTATTTTCATCAGAAGATTCTAAATTAAATAATATTTGTTTGAATTATTATAAAATAACAGAATATTATAATACTAAAATATATAATTTACCGTCTTCATAATCCAATCGTAACTTCTTTGTTGAAGATTCTTCAGATTTTTCTTTATTCAAAATATTATCGACTTGTTCTTTTCCACCAACATGTGGCTATATAGAAAAGCATTTATTCCTTATTTAAAAACATGGCCCTGATACATTAAGAACTCAGAAGGTTTTTAAAGACTTATACACCAATTAGACGAGACGAGACTGGGAGAACACATGGAGTTGATACATTTATTATACTTTGAAATAGAATATGGATTTAATGTTGAGGTAATAAAAAGAAATTGAGATATACAATCTAATAACAAAGTCATGTGCATATAATTTTTAGCCCTTAGTACAGGTTAAAGTACACTTAGTTTAGTTTTTTTATATCAGCTGAGTTCTATGTAATTACTATGATTATGTAGAGAAGTATCCTGGTTAGTAAGTACTAATTTATTAGTTAGTTTCTAAGTCTTGTATTGTATTGTTTTTTCTTTTCTTTTTTTAGTAGTACTTGCTTTCTTATTTGTTCTTTTTTTAAAATATCCTCTTTCTCATATTCTTTTTACCCTATTTTGCTTTTTAAATTTTTTTGTTAACAGAAATTTTTCTTCAGATTGGTAATATATTATATAGAGCAGTGATCCTGACAAGGTTGGTGAGCACCTACTGCAGACTCTTGGGTATAAATTCTTAGTAAGTTGGGAATCCTAGACAAGATAAAGACAAATCACTTAGGCAGGTCACACTAGTGTTCCGAAGTTCAGTTCAGTTCAATTTAGGTTCAGGTTCAAGTTCAATTGAACCTGAACTAAACTTTAAATT